ATCCTGATAACAATAAAAAACAGAGGAGAGAAAGAGAGGTCGATACACAAGAATGGTTTCTTCACTTCTTATGTCGTTTGCTCCGGCCACCGTGAGGGTTTACGCCACGACCGCAAAGGGAGCTTCAGGCGGCGCAAAAGAGGAGAAGAATCCTCTCGACTTTGTGCTTGGCTATTTGACAAAGCAAGATCAGTTCTACGAGACTGATCCAATTCTCAAGAAGGTGGAGGAGAAAGAAGGCACCAGAAGCGGCGGCACCACCGGAGGCAGAGGGACCGTTCGCGGCGGCGGCGGTAAAAACTCTGCTCCGGTGCCTGTACCGCCCAAGAAGAACGACGGTGGATTTGGCGGCTTAGGTGGCCTCTTCAAAAAATGAAAGGAGAAAATGTATAGTCATTTGCATTATTTATGCTTCTTTTTTTACTCTCTATAATTCTTCGGATTTCAATTAATATATTAAAAAACCTGCTCTTTCTTCAATCTTATTTAACATTTTGTGAGAGAGAGAATGCATTATCCAATAATATCATCAGTTCATTGTCAAGATTCACTCACCACTTTGAGAAATTTGAGAAATAATGGAGAAATGAGTAATGTATACACGAAGAACAGAGCAAAGGATGATTTGTATACAAGAGAAACTTGTGAGAATTCAAAGAGCGATCCACACTATTCTCAAAGCACATATTATATAATACGTATATGGCTTTTATACATCTGAATCAATTATACAATTTTGCCAATTTCTCTTTCAAGACACTGTATCAAGCAAGAATACCAAATCTTACAACACACGGCCAGTAAATCTATAAGCTATCACCAGAATGATATTCCAAAATGGTTCTTTTGATTTTGATTCAATATGCATGCTGGAACCATTGATGCTATAGCAATGGTGATAACCACAAGAGAGAGATCTTCTTCTTGTGAGAAGATAAGGAACAGAGAAAGAGAGCTTCTCACAAACGCGGCTCTGAATATACAGGTGGTTTTTTTTTTTTAATTTTAGAGATTAAAAAAACCCATATGGATCCCGAAATCCGATCGGGTTAAGCCCGAGTAGAACAAAAGCCCGAACATAACTACCCGATTTAGGCCCAGATATTTTTAATGGTTAAAAACCGGTTTTTTTTA